GCATTACCAACATTTAAAAATGATTAACTACTGTAACTGTATACCATCAATGTATAATTTGACTTAGGCAATATTTAGTCCTTTGCTTTATAGAATTTTAAAATTTCAGAAACAAATCTTTGCTTTATTAGAGACTAAAAAAAAGACTGATACATATACTTAAACATTGGCCAGACTAATTTCAGATACATGATATTGGAAGAGTGATGGCAAAAGTTCTCATATTTTTACATTTTAATACAGTAAAATTTCTTACAAAAGAGCCAAAGGCCAAGAGACACAATAGAAGAAACTTTTCAGCACAGCTCTCTATTCCCCTTTGATTCGGGACCTGAATGCATGTATCATTTACCCTCACCATCAATGAACTATGTCCCAAATACTTGATTACTACTTTAGATCTGTGTTTCCCAATCTTAACAGCTTTAACTTCTTGTGTGGAATTCACTTCAGTATCAGTTGGTGAACTTTCACTCCTAGAACTCAGCCAGCCTACATATTAGCTGGGGAATTCTGGGAACTGAAGTCTACATCACTTAATATTGCTCAGGTGAGAAATGGGTGTTCTAGTTTAATGCCTAAATGAGGAATACTATATACTAGTTAGCTGTTAGTGGATTTGAAACGATCTTTTCCAGCCTAGTCACTTACAGGGTTGTTGGAGGAACAGGTGGGTGGAAGTACAATAAGTTATAACATTTTTCAGAATAAAACGCAGGCAATAAAATGGGGGAAAGGGGGAAAGACCCCCCCTCCCAGTCAAGCTTAACAACATAACCCTGTTCCTAGCGCTATCTCAGCAACAATACAGGAGGGATTTGTCATTCGTTTTTCTCCCACGTCCTCATCCAGGATGCTCTACATGTGGTCTCCCATCCCAGTCCACAACAGAGGCGATCTTACTTAGCCTTCTAAGCTTCGCCTCTGGCTGCAAACCCATCCCAGGAGAGCCCCTCGATCATCTAAACCCCTTTCCGCTGCTTTCCACCGAGATCGGCCTTCCCCGCGGAACCCATTCCCTCCTTTGCTACCGTGTCCGCCACTAGAGTCCAAGTGTGCCCACTCGAATCATTGCTGCCCGTGGGGGTCTTCCCTTTGCCACCGCCTCGCGGGAACAGCGTTGCTGCTGGGCTTCCCTGCTAGATCTAGTCAACTCACCCTGCGTACAGAATAGACTCCACAGCTTGGCGAACAAGAGCCCCATTCCGGAACGGGAGCCGCGATCTCCGATAGAGTTGGCGAAGTGCCTTCCTCCTCCGTCCCGTATTCACTATCCAACGCGGCCGAAAAAGCAGGTGGGACCGAAACCACTTCGGCCCCGCCTCTGCCTCCTCCCTCCAGCCACACAGGCAGCAAGCGGAGCCCCGCCCCGCCTTCCTGCCTCGGAGCTGACGTCACTACGTCGGGATTCGCGCAAGATGGTAAAGCCCCGGTACTTGCGATGACGTATAACGTTGCCCGAAGAGCGAATGGGGAAATCTCCTCTTGGTCCTAGAGCTTCCATTGTAAGTGCCGCCATACGCGGGGCAATTGAAAGTTGCAAGTGAGAATGGTTCATCGTTTTGTCTCGCGGGTTCAACACACACGCGGAAATGTTAGAACTTATAGTACCGATTCCGATCAGCTAGGCAGGATGAGGGCAATGCCAGACCATAACCTCATCCCTGTCCTCGCAGGGCTCTTCTCCCCCTCTCCATCCGTTTAACATTCCTGAAGGGGTGTAGGGACACCTCATTTCAAAAGAACATTTGCGGGAGGGGGGGGTATTTGATTTCCAAAATCCAGTTAAAAAAAACAAAATTTGCCCTTACAGATTTTCTTTTTTTAAAAAAACATTTTTTTTATAAAAGCAAAATATATGTATAATGACCAGCTATAACAGAACATATAGATATTCATCTCCCAGAAAATACAACTAGCTTTCAATTTACTCTCTTCCAGTTATATTAGATTAACCAGTGTTTCTCAAATTTGGCAACTTTTAAAAACTGGCTGGGAGTTGAAGTCTTTATCTTAAAAGTTGATAAGTTTGAGAAACACTGAATTAAACTCATCGGAATTCTCAGGCAGGATGAAAACCAATCAAACACATTAGGTAGGCAGTGGGCTGGGCAATCGCTTATTATTGTTGAATAACTAATATGCCTGGCTTACCAAATTACACTTTGCTGGCTCCTTCCCTGTGCTCTGTGACTGCTGGAAATTTAGTCAACATTTGCAAAGCCATGGTCTATAAATGTATGTCCGCTCTCATCTTTAGATTCAATTTCTAAAATTTAAAAATGTTTTAATGCTCATAAATTCTATTCACTTTGAATAGTTCAGATTTAGTATATCTGATTATATATAGACTAGATGTGATGGAGTACTGGTCCATTATTCAATTATCATCTAAAATCCTACTTTTATGAAAGTAATATATTTATAAGAGCAATTAAAAATGTAAACCATCAAATTAATGCTCTATATTTTCATGTTTAGGGAAAATATACTTAATAACAAAAGCACTCCTCAGTGCTTTACAGCTAGATATTAAGGTGTATTCTTAGGTTCAAGATTTTTTAAAAAATGGATAGAACGAATAAAGTAAAGGTTAATCCTTTAAGTGGCAGCCATATCAAATTTAGATTAGATTGGTATTCTCAAACTTTGGAACTTCTAAAACCACACACTGGAAGATAATTTTCTGTCTAAGCAATTTTCACTAAACAAAAGTAAGGGAAAGAAATGTATTATTTAATTTTAATGACTGAATACTGATCAATGAATAAACAAAAACTACGATAGAATCTTAGAACTATTTCTGCAATTTGTTTCCAACTGACGTTTTAGTTTGTTAGCTCTGACAGCCTGAAGCTGGTTTTTCTACAGAAACAAAAACTGTTGTGAAATCAAAAGATACATATCTTTCATTATACAAGTTATACATTATTTCATTATACAAGCATGATTTAGGGTTACTTTATGAGTCCTAAAGGTGGATTAGTCATTGTTACCTTTTTTGGTGCTAACCAATAAACCATTTGTGTTTTGAAAATCTAAAGATATGGAGTACAAACTGAATTTCCCTTAGATATACATTTCTACAGATACACTAATGCACAAATGGGTTATTATAGTTACGTTGTTCTGCAGCCTGACTATTTTGCACTTAACTAATTAAAGCAAAATCAAGATTTAATCAATCACTGTGGAATAAAAAAAACAAACCAAGGACAAACCATATACCCCAATGTCTGCCACACATACATATAAGTTTTTGAAAAACTGGAAAGTTTATTCAGTATTTTGATCATCTTTACTCCAATTATGGTGATTGGTTTCCTTTCAGATGTTAAAACTTTTTTCATCTACCCTGGCCAACAAATGAGAGTTAGAAGTGGTCAAGGACTTATAAATTTGAAGATTAGCAATACTTGGGAGAACCACAACTTCATTTTTACACAAGATATGTGTGTTTTCCAGTTTTAATTGAACAACATAAAGTGTGAAATTGGAGAGCCTTTTGAGGTGTGTGTGTGAGACTCTGCAGGCTGTATACACTAGTGGGGAAAATAATTACCCAAAACGGTAATGATGGAGTCAGTACCTCTTGTGAAGATAGGATGCTGCTGTACTAGTTGGAAGTAATAGCAGTAGCACTTGACTTACATACCGCACATAAAGCACTTACACAATGCACTTGACTGCATTATAACCATCAGGGCTGCTTAGTATCTGAAGGCTTAGGGTGTTCACTTCCACAAACGTATCATTTAAATATAGTCATTTTTTTCAAAAGAAACCTCTATTATGACAAATAACACCCACCACTGAGTCACAGCCATTCATTCTCATCATTTACACAATCTACTCTTATTTGAAGTATAATGGAGAAGTGAAATATTGGCCTCTGCTTTAGGAATGTATGAGCTGGAGTAGCACTTCATCTATTTCAGGAAGTTGATTTATGTTAACCATTACATGTAAGGCTCTAATTGCAAAGCTAAATAATTGGGCACAGGAGAGACAAACCTTCACATCATCGCTACTATACACATTCAATGTTCTGGAGATGTCATCTCATTGTGGTAGTCACTTGATGTCAAACTTGATTATTCAAAGCTGAACCAGATGCCTAAAACCTGCCTGGAAGGTAACTTGTAGAGACCTGAGGCTTATATCTCTGGGATGCAAAAATCCAAAGGACCACCAGATGGAAGAAAAGAACTTTTGCCAGAAGTTATTTTGCCTGTCTTTTGCTGTCTTCTGGATTTTTGCAGCTCAAGATTCAGAATGCCATCAGATTGTGGGCAAACATCCTTCTACAATAGATTTATTGATTAGATGTGATGAAGTTACTGACTCTTGGCAAGTATGTAGGCAGATATTCTCCATGATGATCTGGTCCAATTCTTCCAATGGTATCTCCATTGCCATTGTAATGAAGTCTAGTTGGCTTGCTGCTAGTTTATTCTTTCCTTCTATCTACAACAGAGCTACCAAATTTCCAATATAATCAGCAAGCTGAAGGTTTGGGTTCTTTTTGCAAAATTCTTAAAAGACATACAAATGAGAGGGTTGTGCATAAAAATGGAAGGCTTGGCTCTATTGCTATTGCTATCTTCTTCAAAAGCAATATTTTTAAATGCACACAAAATGAATCCTGCTCTGTAGCTTGATGATTGCTCATCCTACTAACACTGTGCTTTTGCCTGCTGTCAATTCAATTAGAGAAGAAACAACAGGTGCTGGTATTCCACCAGTTGAAAGCACTCCAGGGACCTAATTTCCCAGAATTCCCCACCATTCTGGCCATTGTGAATATTGCAATTCATAACTCTAATGCATTTCGGGGGCTCCAGGTTCGCAAAACGCCTCATCAGTCTCAGCGCGGCTTGATGCCCAGTAGGCGCATGCCAAGTTGCAGCGACGCCCCTCCCTCCACCTCAGGAGAGAGGCGGCAACGGCGACCCTGGTTGGGCTGGGCCGAAGCAGGGTAGGAGTTTCTTTAGTGCCCCGGATGAGGCCGGAAGAAGGAAAGCAGAAGGTAGGATCGAAGAACGAGGAGGTGAGGAAGAGAAAACATCGGCTTCGTGCTCTGACTCGGGCTCTCGGACTACTTTTCCCAAATTCCCGGCTGGGAATTCTGGGAGTTGTAGTTCCGGTGCATTAGGAGGAAAGAGGGTCTAGCGCTCGTCAGCAGAGGGCGCCCAGGTTGTTACATTCTTTGGGTTGGAACTTGATGGGTCCGATCACTGAGACCTATTCGAAGATGGCCGCCCTTTGTTTCCGCTCTAGCTTACTTTCCCCCCCACCGCAACCAGGAGACGTTTCCGGTTGTAGTATTACGTCAGTTCGCAAAGTCTTTGTCCCCGGGAAAGACGGAAGAGGGGTCCACGTGGCTTCTCCAATAGGCTGTGATGGATACAAAATACTCCACCCGTCCCTGGCCAGATGGATTATATAGGGATGGAATATTCATGATGGGCCTTAAAATGGGTCTCGGCAGCCTCTGTTAATGGGATTAGTCACAAAGAGGATGATCTCCCAAAATAGCATCTTACGAAGGGTATGGGATTTTAGTCAGCAAAGCTGGAGGACGCCAGGGTCAGCAAGGCTGCATAGCAGGGTGGTTCTAAGTGAAAGGAGAGCGGGGAGGGGGGGGTAATCTGGATTTAAACATTTATTTGAGTACATCATGGGCCCTTATGTCTTGCATCCTAGAGCTGCTCTTGGTGTGAAATGAAGAAATGGAATGTTTTGTTTGAAGCAGAGCGATAGAAATACAGAATCGTTGTATTCTGCATTTACAATCATCTAATAAAACTTTTAAAGCAAGCTAATATTTTCATAGTCTTTGTTTCCATGTTATTGATGCTCTGCTACTTATTTAAGTCTCTGGTTCTTTAAAAACTTAACAAGATTATTTTGACCAAGGTATTGGATTTCTCTAAAGTGTGCATGTAAGAGATGCCAGTTGATCAAAAGAAGTCAGCCCTCACCTGTAGGCAGATTACTCTGAATAAAAACGGAGGAGTATATAATAGCTTACGTTTAACAATACTAATATTCTTATCTATATGGAACATCAAGACTGATCCTAATAGATCATAGAAGCAGAATTAAGAAAATATTCTGAAAAGTTTGTTGAACTGGTCCTAACACTCTTATAGCCACTGAGTTTTATAATGTAATATGTACATGCAAATAATAGAAACTTAGCAAGAGCAGTAAGCAATAAAAAGTCTTAGTTAAAACACAGATAACTAACAATATAGATAATCCAGCTGGAAATAAGAACATTGCTTGGACAATGTTCAAACTTTTTGGAGCCAGATCAAAACAGAGACTGCAGGCATGCCAGAAATACTTATTGTTTATAAGAAATATCACCTTGTCCACAGTTGTTTCTTTTTAAGGACAACGGGGGCTATTCTGAGTTGCTTCCACTCTTTCTCCAGGGCTGAACAATCGCTTCATCTCTCACATTTCAAGGGGCATCATAGAGAAGAAGGCCTTTATAGTAGCTTCCTCTCTAATCTCTGCAAAAAGCCACTCAGAAAAGGTCCTTGGAAGACAAAAGTTAGGGACCTGGTAAATAATGTACTACAGGTAGTCCTCAATTTTGATGACAATTCAGCCCAAAATTTCTGATGCTAAGCAAAACAGTTAGGTGAGTTTTGCTCCATTTTACGATCTATCTTGCCACAGTTAAGTGAATTTGCAGTTAAATTAGTAACAAGGTTGTTAAGTAAATATGGCTTTCCCATTTTATCAAAAGATTGCAAAAAGTGATCATATGACCCCAGAACATTATAACCATCAAAAATTTCAGCCAGTTGCTGAATCTTGATCACGTGATCATGGGGATGCTACAAAGGGTTATAAAGGGTTTTCAGTGCTGTAACTTTGAATTAACTTTGAATTGAACTAACAATGGTTTTAAATCCGCGTTGCTTTCCCAATCTTGCCTGTGGGATATGGTATATTGGACTTATCCATATCAAGATGGTGGAAGCTACTGTGATAATTATTCCAGCCAAAGAACAATGGCACACTAAATGCCATATCATTGAAAATACGGGGCAAATACCAAGGCTTGATGTCATTCAATTTCATTTCAAGAGATAGAAGTTCTTTTTGTTGATTATTATTAGATTCACAGTCAGTTATATAGCACTGAAGAGAGATAACTTCTGTTGTAACCCAAAATCTGCAACTTTTCATATTCCACTTCTAGAGCTTGAGCTCATAGTACTGTATACTGAATAATGATTATGCTGGCTGGAGAATTATGGAACCGAAATCCACACATCTGGAGGGTTGACAGTGGGAAGAGAGCAGAGATATGGTTGTATTTGATTGCTCCAATTTGCAGTTTAGGGGCTAAAAGGAGACACAGTTTGGTCTAGTGGTTAAGGAACCAGGCTTAAAACATGGAGACCATGATATCTGCTCTGCCTTAGTTGTGAAAGTCAATTGCGTGATGTTGCTGTCTAACTTCTTGGATAAGCAAAATGTTTTCAGAGGAAAAAAAAACTAAGGAAGTTCAGTTGCCTTTTGAAAAAAACACTTTGGGACTTTATAGGGTTGTGTGGAAAATATGAGGAAGAAGGTGTGATGGATATGTTCACTGCCTTGAGTTATTTGAAATAAAATAAAGGGATACAAATAAATGAAAACATTCAAATATATGGTAATTGGAAATATTTTTTTTTTTTTTGCAGAGTTCATAAACAAATTCTGCATGTAAAGCTTTTTGAACACCTGAAAGCACTGCATGGACATTAAGCATTATTTTTAAACACTGTAAGAAGAGTCCTGCTCAAGCTCCCAGGGGATTGATACACATATTTTTAGCAATAGTTAGCTGTAAAACTACAGATTAGCAACTGGCCGTTCCACATCTAATTTCATGCTATGTGATTTCAGTTGCTAGCTTCAGAGATAAAAAGGAAGTAAATCTGCAGTTTTAGTAACAAATGATTTGGGAAAAATAGAGTTGGGTTTTGGCTCATCACTAATTCCTTTTCAAACTTTCCCTCCAGAAGAACTGATTTTATTGGTTAGTCTTAATTTGATCAGTTAGAAGTAAATTCTGTCTTGTGGACTTGTTTGACTAGAAGGCAGGATAGAAAATAAATTGTTAAATAAAAATCAAGATGTTCCATTGAGTGCAACATGCTTCTAGACATATCAAATAAATTGTAATATTATTTTGAGTGTCTGAGTAGAAAATCAAAATATAAATGGAATTAGTGTAATAATAGAGAATATTACGTTACTCCATAAATTATGTGATACCATCCTATATCCTGTGTAATCATCAAGATGTAATATGAAAAAGAAACTTGTTAAATTTTAAACTATTTCATCATTCTTTTGCTGAATATTAAATTTAATTCATATTGATTTTTTATCATGAAAAATGCCACTGGATAAATCTACACAACATACTAAACCATAAATCATGGTTAAAAACCGAAAAAAATAATACAGCATGCTAAAATATAACCATACAACCTTATACTGCTTCATATTATATGTAAAACAAGACTTGTGGATAAAAGAACATCTATTGATGGGAAGACAATTACATTTCTTCAATAGGCCTCCTGATATAACCATATTTATTGTCTGTGAAAAATTTATTAACATCTGATTTTGTTTTAAGCTTATTAAAAGCACATATTTGATGAAATAATACATTGCTTATTACAGATGTTTCCACGAGTAAAAAGGAAAATATATTAGAGCTATGTCTATTTTCTGCAAAATCTTACTGAAACCAGAGGTTGAGGAATATCTCAGGGCTACATTTAAAAATGATGAGGTAAGTACTACTCTGATTAATTAAAATGAAATGCATCAAGAAAAATTAGGTTGCAATTAGGTTGCAAAAATTAGGTTGAATACTGTCCTGTGGAAGTTAATTTATAATTCTGGCTGTATTGTACTGACACTGTTGTTTTCTATTATGATTCTGTGCAGCTCTCAATATCATTAGGAAAAAATACAGTGTTATATTTTTATAATTACTGCATTCTTCTTCAGGGCTATAAACAGCTACTGATGTGTTAGTCTATCAGGCCCTTGCATTGGCAACATGTCATCATGGAGTCAGGATTGATATTGTCCAAATGATGGTATTATAAATCAGTAAATATGAACTCTGCGTATAGTGATGTTGCTTCTAGAATTAGTATGTCACACTACCCATGTTAAATAATAATGGTTTTATTTTAATTTATTATTTTATCCAATTTGATCTTGCTACAAAGTGAAATCTAAATGTTCAGAATAAGTATATAGAATATACCATATTGTGTACATGTTAAATGTGGCAGGGAGGAATACCCAAGGCTAGTCTAAGAAAGAAAATGTCTGAAAGAGGTTAATATTTAATGTCAGATATTGCATCTGAGGGGTAAAATTTTATTTATCAGAATATAATGAGGTACTTTTTTCTTCAAGTTACTTACGGTATGTTTTTAGATAAACTATATTGATGCTAAAGAGGTTTATTAAACAATAATATTACAGGTAGTCCTTGACTTACAACAGTCAAGGACTTTTAATGATTGTTCAAGGTTACAACGGCACTGAAAGAAGTGATGTCTACACTTATTACCAGTGAAGCATCCCCATGGTCACATGATCAAAATTTGGGTGGTTGGTAACTGACTCATATTTATGACTATTGCAGTTCCTTGGGGTTATGTGATCAGCTTTTGCAACAATCAAAGTCAATGGTGAAACCAGTTTCATTTAACCATATTACTAATGTAATAATTGCAATGATTCACTTAACAACAATGGCAAGAAAAGTCATAAAATGGGACAAAACTCACTTAAATGTTTCACTTAGCAACATAAATTATAGACTAAATTGTGGTCATCAGTCAAGGCCTACTTGAACTTTATGATTTAACTTAGCAAGCATGTGGGAGATTTAATGATATCTTTACATGTGTGCAGCTGAATTTATTTATAAATAAAGTATATTTCAAAGAAAAATATTTCCAATTATTTTGCCCACACACTCCCAGCAAAGCCAGCTCTGTAGTAGTTAGTATTAAGTAACAATAGAATTGTTAGTTAAAATGAATATACCTAGTAACAATTAACAATAAAAACCATTGTGTCATAATTGCGAAACATCAAATGAACTTGTAGAAGAAAATTGTACTTTATAAATCTCTTCTTTATCTCAAGAAATTTATTTTAACTTGTTCCCATTTTTTAAACTTATAAATAAATTAACTTACTTATTTAAATTTATAAGTGAAGTACAATATATATAAGTTAAAATAAGTTATAAATCTAAAGTATTATGATTGTACCATAAAATGTTGTTATTGATTGATTAAATTTCTTTTCTTTCTTTACTTTTATCTTAAGATTACAACATGCATTGGTCAACTGAAAGCAGAAGAGAAATATGAGTCCTTGTTAAATAACCTAGCGCACCCACCAGCTTTTACCAGTGTTCGGATAAACACACATTTGGGATCTGTGGAATATGTAAGACATCTGCTTTCCAAAGAGATCCAAAAGGTCAGTCCTTCATTTCCTTTACTTTGTTGTATATCTACTTATTAGTTGAGGATATAGGTATTCCTTGGCTTATGACCACAATTGAGGCTGGAATTTTTGCCATAAGTCGTTGTGGTCAGAGCCAATTTTATGACATTTTTATGGTTGTTGTTAAGCAAATCACACAGTCATTAAGTGAATCTAGTTTTCCCAATGGGTGTTTTTTGCTATAAATTGTCAAAAGTTGCAAACTGCAATCACATGACTACAGCTGATCTTAAAGGGAAGCCAGTTGCCAAGCGCCCAAATTGTGATCATATTGTGATTATATTATATCATGAGGCAGTGGAACAATTATAAGTAATATTTTCCCATTAATTTTGAATCATAGTTAAACAACGATCGTAAGTTGAGCAATCAAGGGTGTCACATACAAAAAAAGGCAAATTATAGTATACAATTTTAATAAGAATAATAAAAAATAATTGCAATTGCTAATGCTTTTATTTAGAAGCTATGTTAAAATATTGTGATGTTTGCATTTCAAAAAATCAGACAGATATTGTGTTGCTGGCATAGCCTGTAAGACGTTAAATAAATTGCATATAAATTAGAGTGAAAGAAAGCAACATCAAGAGAAGGGGTAAAGTGTTGTTTTGGACTACTTGCAGCTCTAAACTCCTGCTGAGACAGGCAAGAAATGGAGTTAGATTGTACCATTGATTTTTTTAAAAAAAGAAAACTCTTGTTATGGCGAGTAAAGTAAAATTGGCTTTCCTCAGCCTATTATGCTTGATAAACCTAAATCAGAGGCTTAGCAGACCAAAGAGGCACTGAATTTATAATTGTTTTTCTGCAGCTCCAGAATACCTTATTTTAAGCCCTAATTCTACTAGTAGCACAATGTTTCCTTCTGATTCAAGGAATGGGATCTAAAATATCACCTCAAAACTTTTTTTTCTTTGAAAAAAAAAGAGTTATACTTATCTTTATTTCAGAGAACATTTGCTCTGTATTATTTGATCTGCAAAGCAGATGGTTATGTAATGCCAGGATATCTGCCTTGGCAAATCCTGCTTGTTTCTCTAGAGATAAATAAATAAATAATGGACATTTCAGCATTTAGAGGGAGTCAGTGCAAAGCAATGATATGTTTAGAATCAGCTTATGCTAAAGCTTTCCTTAGTAGGCTACCATACAGTGAATGGTAAAAATAAGCAGCATTGGTTTTTTTTTTTTAAAGAAATGCAACTATATTATTGCTTGCCTTCCATTCCATTATTAAGAATCCCCAAAAGGGACACGATTGTTCATTTTACTGTTAGACATATGTGAATCATTTAGTCTAATCTAAACCAAGATACTTAGCAGCATGCTACTTCTGTGTTTACTAATGTAAAGGAAAATCATTCCTTCACCTGTCACTGTATGTACTGTACTGTCAACTGTAAATGAACTAGAATGTATTACATTACCCATCTTTCAGATATCCTTTTGCACTTTGTGAATTTCTCTATAGAGAGAGGGACTTTGTCCAAATAGGAGTTTTCACAAGTGCAGAAAATGTAAGTGCTATTAACATTGGGCAAATTTCAAAGTATAATTCCATTTGGAAACCTACTTATTTTTGGTAGGATATGAAACAGATTAATAAATGTATTTTTGAATTCTGAAAGGAAGCATGTCATTGCAAGTTGTACGGTAGTGATATCCTCTGGGGAATCAAAATCTGCATAATACTGACTCTCCTGCAGACATTATATATAGTACAGCCCCTACTTATCCGACCATAAATATTTCTGTCTAATGAAAATATTAGAGATAATATTATAACTATAATGTTCTTGCCTTTAACTTACAGCAATATGAAAATCTTAGTGTTCCAGTTCTACAGCATCCAGAACTTCCTGACATGTTACTTATTCCTGTTCTTGGACCCAGGTTTGTGTGTGTGTGTGTCTGTGTGTGTGTGTGTGTTTGTTTATATGTGTTTGTTTCTGTTTAATTTCATTCAGGGAACTTCAACCATTCCTAGACCAATCCTGATTTTGAATATACAGCTGATACATGAAAAATATTTGCCCATTATCACTGCTTATCAACATGAAATTAATAATATTCATTATTAACGAATATTAACATATTCATTTTAAACCATAACTTGATATGAAGGAGATAAATTGCAGGAAATCTTGAGCTTATGTGTTTGCCTTCCATGGATGATCCCTAACATTTCTTTGATAAAATCTGACATGCAGTTTCAAGCAGGTCAGATTCACAGCATGATTTTATACAACTTTTGCATGCTCAGACAAAAGATAAACAAAAGATAATTTGAAATATTTTTATCCTATTTAAAACAGCTTATTTATCAATAACTTTGATTTTTTTTTGATAATTATCTCTCTACTGGAGGAGGAAAGGAAAGCATCTGAAATCTCTTTCTCTAGAATGTCAGTGTTTTAATATTTAATATTTATTTTTCTGTGATGCTTGATGGGGGAAAATTGCAATTACTAGCAATTTGCAGAGCTTTGGATTGGATTATGAAGAAGTGCTTCAGAACACAAAAGAACGCTAATGCAGCACCTGCCTGAAAGTCATTAAAGCATTAAAGCATCTCAATCTTTTTTAAGGATTGCTTGACTCATAAAGATCCTGCAAACATATGCCGCTGCTGTAATAAGTCTCAGATAGATGCTGTGTTTGTTCTACCATGTATTCTGAAACAGCAGTCCCCAACTTTTCCCACAGACTGGCAGTGGTGGCAGCAGCAGGGAGCAGGAGATGGTTTGCAAGCTCAACCTGAATCCCATGTATGCGCAATGAAGCTTCACATGCTCACCTGCCGTTTACATGGCCCAGTTCTCAATAGGCCATAGGTTGGTACTGATCCACAGCCCAGAAATTGGGGTCTACTATTTTGAAGAATCTTCACGAAATCAAAACAGGAGCTCTATGTGGTTATATTTCAGACATCTAGAAACAAATCATATGTGTGATCTATCAATAATGTGGCCTTTCTAAATGTTACTTCTTTTTAGATAACTCCTTAGTTTTATGAAACTCATATTTACATTCTTTAATGTGGCTTTTACATACAATTATTATAGTTGCAACTTTAAAATCGAAAGGCTTCAAATAAAATTAAAAATCTAGAAAACAAATGCACTGTCAGTAAATAGGAAAAAAAGAATGCTTGCTGTGGGTGGGAGTGGGAAGTGGTCAAGTTAGCTTTTTTAAATAGTAATATTAATAAACTAATTTTATTTAAATATCATTTTTCCATTACAGAAAGGATCTGCAAAGATTGCCAAATGAAGTAATTGTTGATGCCCAGTGTGGAAGTGCAGTGCTTCGTGGAGCACATGTTTATGCTCCTGGGATTATATCCGCTTCAAAGTGTAAGAGTGATTGTGTATATTTAATGAATATTTTTATTATGGTCATTGTCTAGAATTGAAAACAAAAGTAAGTTAAATATAAAGTAAAAACAAAATAGAATAAATTATTACAATGGTGGGTGGGCTCATTAAAGTCGGCCTAATTTTACAGGCAGCATAACAAAATGAAGCTACATTCAAGGAGACTGACTGATACTGTTCTGGTGCACATAAAAACAAGGTTAGAATTTGCCAGCTGTTTTAACTGGGAAAGAACTTGTAAGATGGCAGGAACGAGCTGTAGTTTATTTATTTTTATTTTACTTACTTAGTTCGTCAAACATGTACGAGATAACAAGTATAAGTATAAACAAGGACATGAACACAGGAAATGGGTATAAATAATTGGGGACAATAGGATAGGCACAGTAGCACGCTGGTGCACTTATGCACGCCCCTATAGACCTCTTAGGAATGGGGTGAGGTCCACGATAGACAGTTTAAGGTTGAAGCTGTAGGTATTTGAGGATGTAACAACAGAGTCAGGTAGAGCATTCCAGGCATTGACCACTCTGTTGCTGAAGTCATATTTTCTGCAATTGAGTTTGGAGCAGTTTATCTTTCAACACCTCTAGCCCACAGGAGCACAGTCTCAAATCATAGAAGATTTTGTCTATGTTTATAATACATATTTATGTATAGAGGAAATAGAAAACTCTTTAAGTGTTAAAATATGTTTTCCCTTTTTAATATAGCTTTCATCTTGTGTTTTTTTGTGTTTGTATCCCGTTGTGGCCAAGTATTAATTTATTAATGTTAACACTAAATTTTCAACCATCTCCCCACCAATACCCATTTCATCACTCTTTCCATATATATTTTCTCATGCCTATTTAATTATGCACCATCAAGTCAGTTCACATAGATACATTTTCTCTAGGAAAATGTGACTCCAATCTATTCCTTCAAGTATTTCAACAATCTAGTAGCCGTGGTGGCGCAGTGGTTAGAATGCAGCATTGCAAGCTAATTCACTGCTAACTGCCAGGAGTTTGATCCTGACTGACTCAAGGTTAACTCACCCTTCTATCCTTCCGAGGTCAGTAAAATGAGGACCCAGATTGTTGAGGGCAATATGCTGACACTGTGAACTGCTTAGAGAGGGCTGTAAAGCACTATGAAGTTTTATATAAGTCTTACTGCTGTTGCTACCTATCCATGGCTGGTCACCTCTTCTCTTTTCTTCAAGTTTCCCAGCATGGACCACTTCTGAAATTTAAGTTTTCATGATAGGGTTGAAGTAAAGTAATTTGAATGTGGTCATTGATACCTTGATTTAGAACTCTGGATTGTTTTATTTTAGGATCCAGCTTTTTAGATTATCCACGGTATTCTCGAGTGTCTTTTCCAACACTACAGTTCAACAGTGTCAATATACTTTCTATCCTGCTTCTTCAATATCCATATGCCTATTTACAGCTTACTTATTTGTAGGCAATAGTGTGATGCAACCTGGACAGCTAGGCTCACAAATTTAGTATCTGAGCTTTATTGTGATCACATTTTCATACCCTGATTTAGATGAATGGTTCAGCCAAAATATTCTACCGTCCCTCTTTTCCCCTTTCATGTTAGAACATTAACAATTCTTGAGGATTAAACATAAGGATGTATTTCTTTAAAAAGTTATGTAAAAAAATGCCAGGTCTGCATCTGGAATAGACATCAGTGATGTTTTTCCAGAGCTTATCTTGACTCAAGCGCATTCTTTTGGACGCATGGGGTTTGAGTATGTGGACTTCCAAAATCCCCAGTGAATGTCTGGATCTTTGTTCTTGAGCCAAGGCAAACAAAAATCCATAGATGTCTCTCCCTCTCTTTTCCCTAGTCATGAAAGCTGGCAGTATGGTTTCTGTGTACTCTGATATTGAAGGGAAATGCAAAAGAGGAGCCAAAGAGTTTTCCGGGAATAAAGTTTTCATTGGAAATGGGATTTCAGAATTGAGCCGCAATGAAATATTTACTTCTAATGGCCCATTGAAGTAAGTCAGAAGTATATAATCATGGTTGAAAATCTGTCCCAAATTGCTTATTTTAGTAGAAAGCTACGGTTATTTGTAAATCATCTCACTATCCAACTAATTTTGTTTTTTAACACATTGAAAGTATGTATACTTTAGCCCAAATTTCTGCTGGGTTTATTTCTCCAATGTTGAGGCTTTTCAACAAAAAAAAAAAATGAATATGAATCTGCCTGTTCTGAAAAAAGGTAATTTAGAAGTTAAAACCCAAGACGGCAGTTTCAGTAGTATGCATTTATTCTTTGATAAATACCTTTGTAACTTTTTATGTTTTATGGAGTTGTCATCAGTCCTCTTGGTTTCCACTTTTGGTGTTCAAATATGAAAAGTACCATTGCAAGAGGATACTGTTGGGTTTTTCTTCTCTTCGATGAGCTTTCCAAAATGTTTGGGTTGGTAATAGAGGGTTAGGATGCTGAATTAAATAGCCTTTTGATGTAAACATCAGTGCAAATGTATGGATTTGGATAAATAGTCAAATAAATTATTCTCAGATATCATCCTAAATCAAGAAATCTCCTAGGAACTAATCTTCGAGGATCAGTTAAAGTGATAATGTTTTCAGATATTTATGATCTAGGTTCTATGCTTCAGTAATACAGTAGACCATGGTTAACCACAGAGAGTACTTTTTATATAACAGTTTGTTGCAGCCTTGATAGTAATATAGGTTCAGTAATGACATGGCTAGATTAAGCAATTATTAAAATTGTTTTATTTTTTATATTATTAACATTAATAATTAAAAATAATGATGGAGTACAGATGGAGATTTTCTTTACTAGCAAAAAAAATAAATGAGTATGGTTAAGGCCTGAATAAAAAAGAGTCAGATGATAGCCACTGTAGTAGTAGAATCATATAAGTTTAGGGTAGCAAAACATTGAAAGATAGTTCCAAAAGCTTGCACTTTTTATTAAAACAAGTTGAAAAAGATGCTACTAGATTCCTTTCAGTGGTACCCTATTATTATTATTCCATACCTTTGGTTAAATGGTTAAATATTAATAAACATTTATAAAGATTATCAAAAATTATATATACAGTAGTTATTGAATTTATTCAGAATTTTTTTTATCAAGATGTAACTTTGGAATAATTTTATTGATTTAAAAAGCTCTGGGACATTCTTTACTTGAACCATGCTATGTTTTTCCGCCAAATTAATAAATGTATCAGGAATAATATATGCTTCACTATTGATATACTCAGATTGCAACAATTTAGTATGCCCCTATTTATAGGGTTCTAACTATTCTGCCCAGTATGAAGCATTTATTCATGTTCGTTGCAGTTATTTATCAATTAACAGTACATTTTGATTTGTACTCCCCCTCTTTTTTGTGTGTTGTCTTTTTAAAAAAATCTTAAGAATATTGAAATGTTCAGTCTATATTGTCCTAAAATAACTATGAAGACTTTCTTTGCAATGAGTAGTTAATTTTCTCTCATTTGTTTTCTTCAAGATGTTTCATTACCCAAACTAGGTAACATCATTGGTGATACCGGTAGTTACTGCTAGTAACTAACCCTGATGATGTTACTAGTTTGGGTAATGAAACGTCTGCAAGAAAGCAAGAAAGCTCAGAGAATACCAAGGACCCTTCATGTCAACCCTGAGGCACAAATATTTTCCTTTATTAATTTCCTTCACATCCTTAGTTTTGGAAAGTGTTATAATTCTGGGTGATTAGAATTTGTAGTATTGATTTAACCTATCTAACACAATTATTTTCATGTTATATTGTCGACTTGGAAAGGAATTCCATTCTTGTTGCATTCCACAACAGGAATGTAATAAGAGGTATAAACAGTCTACAGAAAATAAGTATTAGAAATTTCTTTAGAGGACAACAAATAGATATTGATTTGGAATTGATATAGACTCTGTTATGATAATTTCATCTTCTTCATTATCATTAGCATTTGCATCCCACTTTTCTCTTAGAGTTCAAAGTAACTTTTGCAATCTTTTTCCTGATTCTTAATGCTACATGGATCTTGTTGGTTTTATTATGCTCAGGGAGTGACTGTAATCAGTTTTACAGATTGGATTATTTAACATAATTTCATGCTTTTAATGGTACAGAAAAAACATTTTTAAAAATTTCCCTAGAATTCTTGAATAATATGTTGGTGAGGGCATTTAATAAAATTATATAAATCAACCAACTAAACTACAAGCCACATTCCTATGGAAGAACATTATTTTGATATTATTAACAATGACAGCAGTCTGTTTTGAATTAAGTCACACCTAAAAAACCCATTTGAGAGAAGACATTTTATACTAAGTTGGAAATATGTGGATTCCAAGGGCTTATCTAATTAATGTTCCTGAAAGTAAAAACAGAATGTGTTAAATTAATAGCATGTATTATCTGATATTCCCCAATAAGTAACATACATTTAAATAATGTCAAACTAGAAATGAGGAGCAGACAATTTATTCATGTTCCTGTGTTATGTCTTTCAGAGGGCTGGGAATAAAAATGACTGAACCAATTTACCGTAGTCCCTCATTTGACAATATGTTATCCAGTTATATATTTTTACAGGTATGTTATATTCAAAATAAATACTATTTTCTGAACATTAAGGTTTCAGTACAGGGAGTCCTTGATGACTGTTCAAACGGCACTGAAAAAAATGACTTATGACCATATTTCACACTTGCAGCATCCTCATGGTCACATGATTTTAATTTGGATGCTTGACAGCTGATTCATATTTTATGACGTTTGCAGTGTCCTGGGGTCATGTGATCACCTTTTGCAACCTTCTGACAAGCAAAGTCAATGGGGAAACCAGATTCACTTAACAACTATATTACTAATTTAAAAACTGCAGTGATTCATTTAACAAATGTGGTAAGAAAAGTTGTAAAATGGGGCAAAATTCACTTAACAAATTTCTCACTTAGCAACATAAATTTGGCGCTCAATTGTGGTTGTAAGTTGAGAATGACATCTACATTCCTGGGATCAAATAGACTGGCTGGATTCGCATATACTGCATAGCTATTGCTTAGACATATAGTGATATGGCTGAATTCATACCTCATGGTAAGTCAGAAACCATAGGCCATGTAAACTAATAAAAACCTTAACTTGAAATCCAAATGTATTTATGATCAGATTGTAGCATTTTTATACTTGATATATTTCTTTGGGAATGAGCTGTATTTCCATTTTCTGTAGTGCTTCTTGTGAAATGCTTTGGTGTTTAGGATTTCCTTTTTTATTCCAGTTCAAGAGTTCAGGAAAGTATATCAGTTCATCATGATGTTTTTTTCAAGGTTTTCTTGCAGAAAACATCAGAATTGGGAAGACCACTTCTCCAATCCTTGCTGTAAAGTTCAAATTTTATGGAGAAAAGTAGAATTTAATATATTGTTGTGTCATTTGTACATTTAAAGTAACAATGAGACATTTCTCAATTTATTGTGTTCCCACCTAAAGTATTCACAAATCGCCAGGTATTAATTTAAAAATTTTTTTAACCTTGCGATATAATCCATTGCAAGTTTACCAAGAACTTCATTTTCAGCATCAGTACAATCTACTAAAGTATTGTTGGTGAAACGATTGAATCTTTCGATACTTGGCTTCCACCAGGATTTTCTTTCACATAATGTTAATTGTTTTAAGTGCTTTTAATTCAAAATAAACCAAAATAAATCCTGTAAAAGATCAAGCATAATTCTTTTACTATTTCTAAGATTGTCTCTGGGTCTCATCTAGTGTCTATAAGCAGGCTTAGAAAATGAAAAAGGGGATGAGTGTATCCGAAGACTTGGAAGTATGGCGAGAGAGGGAGAAACAGAGCATACAGAATGGGAGAGGCTAGAGAATACCATGAGGAACAGTCTTATGAGACTGAGGGTAACCATATTCCCCACACCAACCATTTTGTTCAGGTACCTTTCTCATATGCATAAATTCTCAGTTATACCTACTCAGATTTTATCTACCAGTTAAGGACGAGAATATCTACCTGCCATAAGGAGAATGCTTGGATTTGGAACTTTCAGCATATATTGATTTATTAAACTTTTATATCACTTATCAACTCACAGCAGTTTACAATGTGATAGAGAAACACAGTTACAGCTGCCCAACAAAGGGCAACATCATACGTTAAAAGTTATAAAATAAGGATAGGAGCTAACCACAGGAGTCAGAACAAGTATCATCTACCTGTCAAAAACTCTGAGGAAGAGAAAATATTGACTTTAAAGGAATAGCTTCTTCTATCAAAAGACAGTTTAGAATCTTAGAAGAAAGGTCAGGCATAGATTCAGGAAAAATATTCCAGTATTTTTGTGATCTCTGGGTTATTAAAATATTTTTTTACCATTTCCTTTGCTAGAATTTGCCCTCATCAATTGTGAGTTATGTTTTAAATCCTCAGTCAGGACAGAGAGTCTTGGACATGTGTGCTGCTCCGGGGGGCAAAACTACCCACCTTGCAACACTAATGCATGATGAGGTGAGTTACCATACCTCCCTTCCTCCCTCCTTTCCTTCCCTTCCCTTTTCTTTCTTTCTTTTCTTCCTTCCTTTCTCTTTCTCTATTTCTCTCTTCTTCCTTCCTTCTTTCTTCAAAGAAGCTTGCTTGTATTTTATTAGCTTATTACACACATTGGCTGAAATTCACAGATAATTCAAAATAGCATAGCTTTCATACTTGAAATTTGTATATGCTTTCTAATTAAACAAGATATGTAGACTCACTAAAGGGACATTGATATTGCTGAGTTACCACAAATCTACTAATACAAGAAATAAATACTAATGTGAAAATAGGCGTTTTTCTAACATATGCCCAGAAATATGTGAGGGGTATATATTTAATTAAAATTAAATGAGTTTAAATTCAATTTCTCTCCCTGATTTGTTTCCCTTCCCCTCCATTTTTTGAATTTTGCCCTATCCTACTTAAGCACATGCTGTCTATAAGCCATAAATAGCCATCCAGTGTAAAATACATTCTGGACTCTTACCTTGGAGAAAGAGTAGGCAGATTTTGACATAATACAAATTTAGCAAAAATTATTGCAACTAAAAATGCCAGGAAACTAAGAACTTTTAAGTGGGCAATCCAATAAACTATGAGTTTATAGACTGATGGATAAGTCTTGGGATATAATCCGAGTTGGGTTGAATTGGTGACTCTTGAAGAAAGCTACCTAGTTTATTTATCTGCTTATTGGGCTGAGGTCCTTCCTAGGTTGTTAGCAGGGAAATTATTTGTGCTGTGGTGGTAGAGAAAGGGGGTGATGCTATTGGCCTTGAAGTAAGTGGTAGTGCACTCTCTCCTTTAGACTATTCCTGGATCCAGCCATTTGGTTAACTTGACCTGTCTCCAATCTTCCCATTCTAGTTGCAGATGCCCCTGGAAAAAAGTAGATTATCTAGTCCCATATCATTCAGTTTTCGGTATTTAGAATGGAATCAGTCTCAGTTGGACTTGCATATAATCTGTGGCAGACTTGGATAGAGGTAGTGTATTCTTTCTTGTGCTCCTTGATTTCATGGCAAGTTTTTATGCATTCAATCTTGGTATCCTTCTGGATTTCAAATATTAGCAATTTGGAGCATTGTTTACATGGTTCTCTTCCTACCTCCTGAGCCATTCTGATGTTGGCTGAAGAGGAATAGATTATACCCCAATCCCTCCTTTGTGGGATAACATAGGGCTTCTTAACACTTTCTCCCCTCCTGTTCAACATATACAAGAAACCATTAGTTTACTGGCCAGTTGGAGTTCAGTATCATCAATCTGCTAATAATACCAGTTATATCTGTTGACTCCAGGCTGGCCTATTGAGCTGCCAAGATTCTGTCTCAATGCTTGAAGGCTGTTTGGCCTGGATAGGGAGGGACATCAATGAAATCGATCAAAGCTATCAGGACCGAATGGTTGTGAATGTTAGGTCAGCTAGATTTAGAAATTTTTCATTTTTACCCTTGGATGGAATTAGACTTTCTTATTCAAGGGTGACGTGCAATCTAGGGATACTCCTGAACTCAGAGTTCTTACTTGATGTCAGTCTTGGCGAAGAGGGCCTTTGAACATCTCCATCAGTACTCAGTTGTATCCTTTCTTGGATCACGTGGATCTTCAGATAGTCACTCAAGCCTATGTCATTTCACAACTTGATTACTGCAATGCATTTTACATGGCGCTATCCTTGAAGATCACTTGGAAGTTTCAAAATGTAGCATCAATGTGTATAATCAGGAACATTGGTATGGCCATGTGATAACTCTACTGATGCGAGGTGTGCTGTTTGGCACTATGTGTCCAGTTAACTCATAGTTCTAATTATAACCTGGATGTACAGTAATATACATGTAATGCTGTTATGTTTAATGAACTGTTTAATTTTCCAGCATGGAGAAATTGACAGCACTCATAACACAATCCTGAAACATAGAAATAGTGTTCTACTTAAGTGTCTGTGTGGTGTTGCTTTTTTTAAAAATCCATTTGCATTCCTAAGTGTGTAGTTATTAGTGCAACCACTTAACAGATATCTCCACAGAGACTATTAACAGAGACTATTAACATGGAAAAATTATAGCTTGACCTATGTTAAAGTATTTGAATGAAATATATTACGTTGTCTTGGTGAAATTTGTGATGAGTAAACTGTAACACATTAAGTCAAGCATTGTCGCTTAAGAAATGAGGAATGAGGTGATGACTCAAATAGATGGAGAAAGTCACATTTTTCAGATGCAGGCATCAATTGTTCTTTGGAGCTATTTTTTCACATGTGTACTGAATTGGAGCTAAAGCAGATTATACATTGTGTAAATCTGGTGCTTTATGCATTGCTCTTTAGTTATCTGAAATTATGTATATTGACCTTTACGTTAGCAGTTTTAACAGCTATTTATGTCATTCAAAACTTTTGATTTATAATTTTTAGGGGGAAGTGATAGCGCTGGACAAGATAGCGGACCGAGTGAAAAAGATTGAACAAAATGCTGCATTACTAAATTTGAATTGTATTAAAGCTTTTTGTTATGATGGTACCAAGGCGCTTACTGATAGCAAAATAGAGAATGGACAAGGTAATGTGACTTTTAACTATTGTTCATGGAATAAATTACAGGTTATGATATAAAGGTTAATTTGAATTTGATTTGGATGGCACAGTAAGATGCAATGTTTAAAATTATACACGTAGTCCTTGATTAACAAATCTAAGTGGGACTAGAATCTCTGTTTCTAAGTGATGTGGTCATTGAGCAAAGCATCACATGACTTCACTACTTAGAAACGATAGTTCTGGTAGCAATTGCACTTAGGATTATATACTGCCCTATAGGGCTTTACAGCACTCTATGGCGGTTTACAATGTAAAACATTATTTGCATATCCCCCCCCCCAACAATCTAGTTCTCATTTTACCAATCTTAAAAAAATGGAAGAGTGAATAAACCTTGAGCCCCATCAGAATTGAACTCCAGGCTGTGGGCAGAGTTAGCTGCAATTCTATATTTTAATCACTACACTACTAGGGCTCCTAGTAGTCTGGTAGTATCACACACAGTTATTAGACTGAGGACTGTGCGCTATCAGGCAAGGACATCACACTTCTCTGCTGATGACCTTCATGTAGTCTTATGAGACCTAGACTGGGCACACCTCAGCAGTTGGAGGAAGAAGGTCAGCATGAAGGGTAAAGGCTGCAGAGGTAGGCATAGGTGGAGTGCTAGATAGCCAAAAGGGCAGACCTGGGAAGGCAGGTATAGGTATGTAGGGTAATTAAGTGTATGCTGAAGTAATAAATGCTGATAGGCTGGCAAGCAATCAAATTTTGATCATATGACTGCAGAAGAGTTGCCAGCTGTAACTTCGAAGAGCATTCTGATCTACCATTTGCTTAATAATACCAGTACTGTAACTTACCAAATGATCATTTATGAGGACTTGGTATGAAAATTTCTGAAGCTTACTAGCTTCATAGGAGCAACATCGACTACATAAGATGGAAAAAAAGTGAGAAAGAAGGATCTACTTTTGTTAAAGTTATATTGCATTTTTAATCATTGTGTAGTGCAGTTTGGTGGCTAAAGTAGGAAAATTACTTGTCCAACAGATCCTTAGAATGTCTTTTTAATGAACTTAATCTTTCCACATCAGTTGCTTCATAAACACATTTTGTCTTTCTACAAGATGTAACTTAAAATGTTAGTACTTAGATTCATTTTTCATCAATACAAGTGAAGTGTTGGTCTATTACACAGGATTTCAATACACATTAAATCTTGACTTCACATCATGATACAGATTTAAGGAGACTGGATCAACTTTTATACCAATTAAACAGGACACATTTTCTTGTTACATAGAAATAGAGTGGAAGGCAAAAGCAACTATAATTAAAATTTTGTAAGCTATCTGGAATCATCTATGCAGCTATAATATATAAATTTGTTTAATAAATAATAGTGATAAAAATTCCATCTAAATACAATGGCTATTTATAACAGTTAATTAAAAAGACTTTGAACCAATGCCAGTAGGGTTCAACTAGATTCTACTATATTAACTACATTGAATTGATATGATTTATGGAATTTTAATTAAGTTCTCAGAAATTTTCATTAATAACAATTGGTTATGTAAAACATGCAAACTATAGTCTTTGAAATTTTTCTTTTCTTTTTGCAGAAGGACCTCCATTCTTACCTGAGTCTTTCGACAGGATACTTCTTGATGCTCCATGCAGTGGAATGGGACAGAGGCCAAATTTGGCTTATTCATGGTCTTTAAAAGAAATAACTTCCTATCAGCCTTTGCAACGCAAGCTTTTTAGAGTGGTATGTTTAATAGTAAAAACTATAAAATAAAATATGAAGAAGATGGATGGTAGTTGTCAATTGATTGCTGGGTTATTTTAAAAGAAATAAATTTTATTAAAATTAATACAAGCGACTGTCAAACAGAGTTGATATAAGATTATGTCTGATAAACTTTTTCTCATATCCTTACACCAGAAATAATTTAGTTTCAGGAAACAAATTTGTTAAAAGAATTTTTTTCTTTTCTTTACCTTGGTTATATAACAATTTCTGAAAAAAGGGTATGAGGGAAAAATCAAGATATTTGCTGTAATAGTGCAATTGCAACTTCAACTGTTTATTTGTTCAGATGTCTTCTGTTGTCTATTGGAAGACATTGAGCCAAAATGAAAGTAAAGTCTTTCATACAATTCTTTAGAGAAGGTGTCTTCAGTTCTTCTTTTTCTCCTAAAGGAATCTGGGAATTATTGGATCATCCTCGGAGAATACCTCCTGGTAAATAATATTTACCATTCAATCACACGGTATTGCTAGAAAAGGTTGGATGCAAATAAGAGGCAGGGTTGTGGAGATATACACCAAATAGTAAGAATTCTTCACTTTCAGCCACATTTCTATGGTGGTTCCATTATGATTAGTAGCCATGAATCTTTGAACACCAATATTAGAATTAATGTGCACAGTGCCATTGACCTGTAGTGAAGCTTTTAAACTGCAGGTAATCCTTGACTTACAACCATAGTTGACCCCAAAATTTCCATTGCTAAGTTAAATGAGTTGCATCCAATTGTGTGGCTTTTTCTGCCATTCTTGTTAAGAGACACACAGCAGTTCTTAAGCAAATCATGCATTTGTTAAGCTTCCCTCATTGAATTTGCTTGTCAGAAACAAGATGGGAAGGACATAAATAGTGATCACATTGTCACAGTGTATCTGTTCCCAATTTTGATTATGTGGATTGTGTGAGAATCATTCATAAATCACTTTTTTCAGCACCATTCTAACTTCAAACAGTTCCTAAGTAAATGGTTGCAAATTGAGGATTATCTGTAATTTATATGTTTTTAAAATAGTGTTATTTGTGAAATACTACCAAAAATTCTACGAAGTGAAAATCTGATTGTCATCCTAGGCAGTGCAATTGCTAAAGCCAGGGGGCATCCTAGTATATAGTACGTGCACAATTACCCTTTCTGAGAACGAAGAGCAAGTGGCTTGGGCACTAGAAACTTTTCCTTGCCTCCAACTTAAGTCACAGGTAAGAACAAACTTCTTTGTAAAATTTCATCTACGTAACTTTGCTTTCCACTTTTATATTACTTTGTCAGTTGAAAACATCTTGTGGAAGAATTCACCTGATTGCAATTACATTTTAGTAGCTAAAAAAATGAGCTGATATCAAGACATATCTATTATGTTATCAAGAATCTGTCATTTCTTTTGTTTTCTTTTTGGAGTTAACAAATTTATCCCGCTGCCTAGGAAAAATATATTTTGTAATTTTTAAACTCACTTCCATATTTTGCTTACATCTGTAGAGGGTCAGTTTGGTGTAGTGGTTAAAGCATCAGATGAGAAACCAGGAGTTCTACCCCCACCTTGGACACAAAGCCTGCAGGGTGACCTTAGGCTAGTCACTCTATCTCAATCCTAGAAGGGAGACAATGGCAAACCACTCAGAAAAAGCTTGCCAAAAAACCTGAAAGGACTTGTTCAGGCAGTCTCCAAGAATTAGAGAGTTTAAGGGGGGGAAAAAATAGAAAGGAGCATTTGAGAAGGCATTAATTGTATATCTTGCTAAATCATGGTTTATCTCTGCACACAACTAGAATAAGCTTTTTTAGCCAACTTCCTGTCCTGAACAGCTAAGAAACATTCCTCAATTATTATGTGATTTCATAAAGAATGGTGTAGCATTTTTTAAACTTTAGAGATTGGGTGGGTTTTAAAATGAACTCTGCGTGGTTAAGAAGCCAACTTAGACTGAATGTTTTATTTCTTTTTGAACTTCACATTCTGTAAATTATACAAATGCTAAAATGAAATACTTTGGGAGGGAAAGTAAACAGTTCAATCTACTTTAGAAAGCTGAACTGATTTTTGCTGGGGCTAGCTATATATGGTATCTTAGAGGGAAAAAAGCACACAATACTGCAATAGGCTTTTAGTATCAGGAAGAGTTTTATACAAAGCATGCCCAATCAATATTATATATTCCTGCTTTAAATCACTGTTGTTGAGTTATTGAATCTAGTAAGGCCAAGAAATGGATTTTGTACTTAATTTACTGAGCCTTAAAGAATTGCCTTTGCATTTTTAGTACCCAAATTAAAATCAGATTTTTTTTAAGCATATATATTTTAAGTATTAAAATTGACTTGCTAGATTAAATGAGATTAGTTCTATCACCACCACCACCTCCAGGCATGAAAACTGACTGAGTGACTTTGGGGGAACCCCTCTCAGTTATCCCAACCAATATCTAAGCATAGTTGTGAGATGAATAGGAAGTAGGAGCATTGGGTACGTTGGTGACAAATAAAACAGTAAATGCAGAAGTTTAAAAAAAGCCTAATCCTGTATCTTCTACCTGCTTACTGGGGTGTGGACCCAGAGCCTGCAAACTGGCCAGCTGCTGTAACATTCATCAGAATAGATCTGACAGTTCTTATTTTGCATACCGATTTTCCTTCTGCAAAAGAATTGAGAGTAGCAGGAGGGCAACTGAATTCTATGAGACATATTCCCATATAAGGGTCTATGCAACTGCGGACTAAGTTTTAGTACATTTTTGTTACTTAACATAGGAAATGGCTTCCACCTACAACAAAGGAACTCAAATTATTTTAGATGGCAACTTAATATAATCATGTCCCTTTTCATCTATATTTAATTTTTGCTATTAAATATAGATTTTTATGCTTTATTTTATTACATAGTATTTTATTGCAATGCTATTTTATTAGCATACTAATAACATGATATATATAGAAATAAACTGTACCTATTGAAAACAGTTTGGTTGGCATTAAACAGTTTGGTTGGTTTTCAATTATTTTCTTTACGGAGATTAATAGCAAGACAGTTTTCTGCCTTAAAAATATTCCAATAATGTTCTTGCAAAGGTAGAGCTAGTATGCTGACCTTTATAAATATCATCATCTGTTTTAAGTTAAATAATGACCAAGCAAATAACCAATTGTTCCTTTTATTTTGCTCCCTAAAAGGAGCCCCATGTTGGCGGAGAAGGCATGATGGGAGCTGGACTGTCACCTGAGCAGCTGAAACTGCTACAGAGATTTGATCCATCTGAAATTATTTTGCAAGGAATTGACTGTTATTCTTTGCAAAATGTCAACTTTGAGGATTTGATACGCCTGGCAAACAAAGACTGTATAGGATTTTTTATAGCAAAATTTATAAAAGTGCAGTGAAAATTGCTTTATACATCAATGTAAATAAATCTATGCTTTCTTTTTAGCCTTTGGAGTGTTCCAAACTGCTTTGTGCTCCAGCTATGTTGCTAAGCCAACAGTCTGACGACATAGTTGCTATAGCAGCAGTAAAATCAGCCAGCTGTTTCTCCTGGGAGAAATCCTCAGGTTGGAGAAACAAGTCTAAGGAAATGGGCCATTTCAATTTGGAAAGTTTCAAGTTTCATTTGGTTTTACATTTAACAACAGATCACTAATTATGGAAACTTGTTTGCTCAGTTTGCCCATATGGTTTTGTTTACTATCACACACAGTAGCAATCTTACTTTCAAACTACTGAGTTCAAAATAAAGTTTGAATGGATTTTAATAAACTTTATGACCCTGACCCATGGGCTAGATTTGTCACACTCTGGCCACGCCCATACCCGGTTTAGCAAAGGGGGAAAGTCCTGATACATCATGTGATGCCACCGTAATGATGCGAGTTTGACATCCCTACTTTATAAAATCTAACAGATTGCTTTTGAAAAACAATTTTATAATATTAAAGAATTTCATTTAATCAGAACTGGTATTAAGTGAGCATCTGACTGCTAATTATGATTAATTTGAGAGCTTTATAAATGCTTCTCCACAAAATTATGTGTTTTGCTTGGGTCTACCAGCACAACAGTGCATGTTCACTTATGATATCAGGAATGCTAACTGTTCAAATATCAGATGTGTTGTATTTGATTCGGGCGCAGAACCAAAGAAGAAATACTGAGATGAAGCAACAAGGGAAATCCTCTAAATACTCATGTCCTTCTTAAATTTTAGTTTCCCTTTAAAACCATTGGTGATTTTTGCCATGTTGGAGATAAAGCAATTGTACAATTGTGTATGCATTGTATGAAAAACTCTCCACTAAGGCCCAGTGTTTTAGTGCTTGTATTTTAATATGTTTATGTGTCAACATTACCCACATCAAGTTTAATTTTATTTTTCTTATTTATGGTCTCCTTATCTATTTTAGCAGCCCCCCTCAAATATAAGGAAGTTGACTAGTTTCATACTGTATCATTTTGGTTACACTTTTTCAAGTTTTATGATCCTTTTTTTGACAAACATGAATAAGAATAGCAGACTTGCATCTTTTATTTATAAAAGGTTTTAATTATAATGTCCTACTAAAGTCTTGCTATCTAATGTTGGGCAAGGGAATAGAGTTTTGTAATATATGCTTATGTGATTTAAAAAATTGCAGAATTTGGAGTAAAGTTATAAAAATATCTCAAATATCTGCAACAAAAATAGGCATTGGATACTAGTTGAAAAGCGATAGAAAAATATAACAATTAGAAACATTAATCTGTTTCCTTATGGAAGTAAAATAGAAATAAGGGGACAGAATGCTTGGAATCACTTGTTCAGGGATAAAGTAATGTGGGCTTACGGATATTCAACTTCAACTCATAATGTTTGCTGCAATTTTTCCAGATAGTGTAATCTGTTACCTATAAATAGTGAATAGAGCAATATAAAAAACCTAAAGTATAATCTGATTTATGTTAGTTGATATATCTGATATGTTCTGTTTGTATGCAATGGAATTCAGATGAATGATTCCAGTTCTGAAAAAAATTGTCTCAGAGATCACAGGCCTTTAAGCACCAATGTGATTTGGTTAAAAAAAACCTGCTTAGTAAAGTAGAATAAAACTTTAACAAAGGTAAAATATCTAATGGAATTCATGCTTGCTGAAGACACAAAACATCTTTTAAGCTGCTGAAGAAAAATGAACTAGGAGTTGTAGCATTTAAGCATCTAAAGATCAAGTTAGAAAGTGAGCATCTAGCAAAGCTCAACTCGAGAATCTATTGACAAGAGGTATGTGGTTATGTTATACAAATTAATACTTTATATGTGTTATATAAAGTATTTTTGTTGTCTTTGGAACTATATTTATGATTTGCAAAAATGGGTATTATAACAATAAGTATTACATCCAGGAATATTTGGAGATAAAGTGTTGTACAACTCAAATGTTCTTTTAGAGTTCCATTAATCTATAATACTCTTTTCAGTCATAGGCAGAAATCTTTAAAAAAAAGATCAGCTACTACTTTGATAACAGAAAGAAACTGCATTGAAAGGAGATCTGAAGCACTTCATTCAAAAAATTACTTAAATTATAAAATCAAGCTTTTTCAATATGGAAATATAGTAATTTCTGTGTGTCAAAGTTTTGAGTAAATAGCTTCCTAATGGAGAACCCGTTATCAGAAAAAGGATAGCTACACAATTTCTTCCACATTTTTAAATGTAATTGGCAAAAATATGGTCATTAATTGTAGTTAACTCTGAGAAACCTGAACAAATATAAAATGCTACAGCTAGGTTAATCTCTAGAGTTCTCATAACACCCATTTTGAAATCTTTACACTGGCTGTCAGTTTGTTTCTGTGTACATTATGTTGCTTATTTTGAAAGTCCTCACTCTTTTATATTTGAGGAATGCAAGATTCATCCCACTCAATCTTCAGAGATCCACCTCCAGTAGTGTCTGGCTTGGAATGAATTTTTTTATTCATTTTTGCTCCATCTTTGTTTGTGGAAGTCATTTCTCAGTGCAATTGATGGGCTCCCACCCACATGATCTTACAAACATACAGTACCTCTGTCTACTGTCCTACAAAGCACAATTGTTTATTTTAAATGTTTTTCTTCTATCATAATTTATTTTAACCTAAGATTTTATGTATCTTTTATATTTTAACTTGTTGAGGAAAACAAATTGGTATCAGTATGATCTCTCATATCTATAGAGCTGAAGGGGAAATTATTCCTAAGCTTGTAAAACTCTTGCTTTTATTCATTCTGAAACATCCCAAAATATGCATAAGGGAAGATCTACATTTTAGTTTTAATATCAATACACATTTCTATGTTGAAAAATAAGAACCTGGATATTTGGGGGCTTTGGAAACTTAATTGGGAAATGATTCTCCCCCGCCCCCACAAACAAATTGAACTAGCAGTAGAAGTCTAGATCATACAAATACTGGCAATCCAGACTATGGTAAATAATTATTTTGCTCTACTCTGCCTTGGTTAAGTCTCACTCGGGATATTGCATTCAGTTCTGCACCTGCCAACTTAAAAAACATACAGATTAATTATTTTCTGTTGTTCATCCCCCAGAGTCACTTGTTGGTGAGATGGGTGGCTATATAAATTTTAAATAAACTGAAGCAAGTCCAGAGAAGGACCACCAAGACAATGAAAACTAAGTTCTATGAGGAACAATTAAAAGATCTAAGTAAGTTTAATTTGAAAAAGAGAAATTTTACAAGGTACATGATAGTGGTCTTCAAAAATTCTAAACGCTATTACATTGTAAAGAGTTAAAACTTATTCTGATTTGCACCAGAAAGTAAAATTAAAACTGATGGAATGAAATTTCAAATATATAGATTAGGTATTAGGAAAAGCTTCTTGAAAATAGGTACCAGTGAATGAAGTGCTTTCTACCCCTTCACTGGACTTTTCAAACAACCTGGATAATCATCCATTAAAAATATTCCAGTGTTTCTATGATTCTAGAAAAAACATGCATAGGGTAGCAATGGTAAACCTTTTTTATATTTTTGCCAATAAAACTACATGGGTATATCCATTATGTCCCAAGGAGCTGACTTCAACTCAAAAGAGACATTACTTTTCATGTTCTTTTAATTCTGTAACTATATATTTCCTGATAATTACTCTTTGGAATTACCAGTTTGCACTTGTTTCTCTTTTCATACTTTAGTTATCTTCTTTTTCATGTATATGTATTTCTTTGTAGCCACAAGATTCTAATACAAAATTTGGTCTTGTAGCTTGGATATTAGAATGAAAAGTATGAAGTCAAATACTAATTTCTTCTGCAACAGAGATTTTTACATTTTAAGACACTATGTACACAGTTAATTTACGAATACAACACTGAAATACTACCTGCAGTACATTTTGTAACTATGCCTACATTTGGAGAATTTACCCCAAATATTTCAATATGTTGCATATTTATGAAAGGCTTTCAGCTTTTACACATGTTAAGGAGAATTTTCAGGAGAGTTGAATGCATGTTTTTAGCTACAATGATCTTCCCCTCCCAATATAAATAAATATCTTTTATGCTATGTATGTTAAGTCAATTTGCTTAATATTATTCCTTTATTCTTATTCTTTTCTATAATACTTATTTAATAAAGATGCTGGGCAGAACTAAATATAGCCTGTCTATGTGTGATGAATGTAAATACACACACACACTCACACACACACACACTCACACACACACACATTCCTCATGCATGGATTGGCTAGATTTAGTTCTATCCAGGATCTTTATTGTAAATATATATTGTAAATACTACAATTATTTACAGTATCACTTGAAAAATGCAATGACAGTATTATTGTAGTATTATTTGTTTCTGACAAAAATGTAGAAATTATAATGGTTCAGCAACCGTGTAGCAGTAAAGCCCATAAGTAAAAGTTAAATAAACAAATTGATTAGAATAGAAAGATGGTCAAATATAGAAAAAAGCAGAGAAGCTACAAAATTTATTTTCCAACAAAATAACTCCCCCACAAGTTGTGTAAACTTGTCTTACTAAACAAACACCCTAGAACACAAAAAGTTTACATTTCCAGTGAAACACTCAGTCACATTTGCTTATGTTTTTAACTTTCCTGGATCCTCAAAAAATAAAATAAAATAAAAAGCCAGCAGATTGATGTTTTCCCAATTACCTGTTAGTTGTAAACTTTCCCATGTCACTTGCCTGCAATCTTGAGCTTCTGAGTTAAAAAACAGCAATGAAAAAATAAAACCACACAGATTTTAGAATAATCTATACTTGGAGCTGATTGATGCATTATGATTTAATCCTAGTTTCCACATTCAGGTGCTGTGATCAAGCTTGAAGCAGATGGTATGCTTCTATAAAAAGAATAACCATCCATATCTCCTCCTTGACAAGATATTATACCTAAACTTAAACATATGATA